TTTTTTTTTTTTTTTTGGTATGGGCAATCAAACTCAGGATGTTGTGCTTTTGAGGTAGGTGTGGCGCTACCGAGCTAAGTCCCGGTTGAACTTGTTTTTGGTCCTCACCTTAGTGACCTGTGAGCCAAGAGGACCCGCCTTCCTCTCGAGCCCATACTGCCTGGGGAGGAGGCTGCTCCCAGTCCGAGGAAACGCCAGCTCACGAGAGGCAGGTGGTGTTCATTATTTCTCTCCAGCTCATTGCAAACATCCGAGTGCCCATGTTGGTGTCAGAGTTCTCTGTGCATCGTCTTTATTTCTGTCCAGGTTTTAGCCAGCTGAGCACTTTGGTTACGAGTTGTGTGTCGGGGCTGAATACTGTGCTTTGAAGCCGAGAGTCAAATACCAATTTAAAATCCTTTTAAACCTGTCTTTGAAATTCAGACAAATGAAATGGAAATAACACAAGGGCTGCAGTGCGGTGAAATATTGACTGCCTCTCCTGTAGAAATCTTTAAGGGGTGGCCTTTTTGGCATTTTATAGAAGAGAAAGTTGTTCTTTTTAGCCTGCTTTGACTTTCGTGATTTGCCCAGTGTAATTTCCCATTAAACGCTAGCCCCGGGCGCTGGGGTGTGGCTCCTTAGAGACCTGGGTTCCAGCACTGAAGAAGCCCTGAGGAGCCAGTCCTGTTGGAAAACGGTGGCCTCTTGGAGAGGCACCGCTTAAAGTTTTGCAAACAGACCCCGCTCCCTCAGTGCACCTCAGTCTGGCTTGTCCCTCTTCTGGCCTGATGCTGCCGTCCTCTTTCTCCAGCCCTGCTGTGGCTGCCTGGCGGGGTCCCTTCCCTGGTTGAATTTCCCACATCTTTTCCCGCAGAGGTTTCCTGCCGCTTTTTTGGGACCCTGAGTGCTCTCACACCTGCTCCCTGCCTCTCGTCCCTGGACTCCCTACATCCTGCCAGCTTCCGCTGGGTCCCTCCAGGGCAGCCGGTTTCTGTGCCGACCCAGACTGGCTGGCTGGCTGCCTGCCTGCGGCATGGACTTGGGGTTTTGGAGTAAGAGGGCTCTGAAGCTTTGCTAGCAGAGCTGTTTGCCCACCACCCAGTGGCAGCAGCGCTACCCCTACCAGCCCAGTCGCAGAACAGACTCCTGGCCAGCTCTGAAGCAGTCAGGTCCTAAACTCCTCAGTGTCCTGGGCCACATGTATTATTTGTGAGCACGACACCAGCGTCCATTGGCTTTCATTCTTTTTTTTTTTTTTCCTTTTACAGCTTTCATTTTTTATTACACTGACTTTATATTTACCATTGTAGGAAATTTAGGGGAAAAAGAGCAAAGAAAAGGACTTTGTAATCCCACTACCCCAAACAAATGAATCACTGTCACCTTTTTGGTGCATTCTTCTGCCATTCCCCACAGACCTACGCGATCGCGGACATGTGGCTGCTGTCGCACTGTTGTGAAAGGTGTCTGACTCTCCTTTTCATTGATTCAGACCATCTTTCCAAGCAGTAATTGTTGTCCCAGAACATCTCTTCATATGGCCACACAGCATGTTTCGGTATGAATGGGTGGGATTTTCTGTAGCAAGCCCTTTCCTTGTGGACGTGTGTGTTTGCAGAGTGTTCACCACCTGATGCAGTGTGCAGATGGGCCTTCTGGCAGCTTTCAGCAGACTCTAAACATTTCCTACGATGACTTCCTTAAAGCACAACAGAGCCAGGCTGGCTGGCTTTCTTTTTCTTTCTTTCGTGTTTCTGACGCATGGTAATGTTTACTTTTCTTCCTTTCTAGACACTACAACAACAGGAGTGCAAACTTCTCTACAGCCGAAAAGAGGGCCAGAGGCAAGAAAATAAAAACAAAAATAGATACAAAAATATCCTACCCTGTAAGTAGCAAGTCCTGCCCCAGCCTTTGTCACTGTGACCTGGGGGCTGTGTGCGTGTTAACAGATCCTTGACCTCAGTCTCTCAAATTCCAAGCAGTTTCCAAAGTAATCAGCCGTAGTGGGGACTGGTGATCTCATTCCTTGAGTTTCTGGGATGCTGGTTACTGAGGAAAATGCCACTGGAAGGCCTTGTCTTTGGTCACTTCCTTCTGTGGAATCAGTTTTCAGTCTGCCCGAAGGTGATCATCTGGAGGCTGTGAGTGCTCAGTGACAGGCCAGGCTCTGAGGTTTGTGTCCCTGCCCCATTCTGGGGCTCTTGAGTGTTTGGAAGCAGACAAGCTACTGGGGTGCATAGGCTGGAGTTCCTCAAGATAAGGGCATATACCTGCACTCTGCTCAGAAGAGGACATTGTGGGTACATATTCAGGAGGTCCAAAGGCCTTTAGCACTGCCGGCCAGCAGAGCCCAAGTTGAATCACGAGGGGAAAAGTCTGGAAGGTTATAGATCTTGTGCATTGTCACTTCTTTGTCACTGAGACACAATGATCAATACCCATAACTTGAGGAGGGGAGGTTTATTTTGGCTTACATTTCAGCCACACTTGGCTGCTCCAGGCTAGGAGGGTGCTGGAGAAGCATGGTGCACAGGAAGTGGAGAGTGAGGGTGGGGCTGGGGCAGGACATGCACCCTTCCAGGCCACATCCTCCACCGCCCCATGCTTCTAGTCAGGCCCCGCCTCCTAGCAGCAATCCAGCCGTGGGCCCCAGTAATCCAGTTACCTTCCCAAAGCCCCGCCTGTGAGTGCACAAGGCTGTTGGGGACATTGAAGTGTAAACCATAACACCGTGGATGAGGACCCCAGAAGTGGCTCCCTCCAGTTGTAGCTCCCCTCTCCATGGGTCCAACTCTGCCGAACACTTTGCATCTGGATGTTAATCTGTGCCACATGCACACGGAGCAGGCATTCTCACTGTCCCCATCTCATAGACTTTTTTTGGTACCCGGGATCAAACTCGGAACTTGTGCTTGCGAGGCAGGTGGCAGAACCACTGAACCAAATCCCCAGCCATCATAGATTTTTAACAAGTTTGCAAGGAGGACTAATTGGGAGAAACAGCTACTGGAGCCCCTGAAGGCATTGTTCTTAGCACCATGCTGTAATGCAGAGGCTCCAGGGCTGGCTGTGCACAGGAGGGCTGGGAAGGAAATACATACATATACATACACATATATATGTATGTATGTATATTCAGTGTTCAGAATGTTTATTGATGTGCACAGTCAGATTTGGAGAGCAACACTCCTGTGCCTCTTCAGGTCGGAGCTATTTTGTGAGCTATTATAAACCCACTGCGTGTGTGTGTGTTTGTGTGTGTGTGTGTGTAAGAGAGAGAGATGCACTGACGTTTCCCCTTTCTGCATATGTATATCCCTGTACCTGGTACCCACGTATGTTCCATCCATGGGACTTTGGGATGGGGGCACATGAGGAGACATTTCTGTTGTTGAGAAGGGGGAGAAGTGGGTAGAGTTGCAGCAGATTTTAAATGTCCTTGGGGAAGCCGCATTCTTTTTATGTCTCAGTTTTCACTTCTGCTCAGGGGCTCTACCAGTACAATAGTAGCTTGCAGTTTCTAATTATAATACTTTTCCTCCTTTCGACGATCCAAATCAGATGTTTTCTTGGATTCACTCCTTATTTCCTTTTTTTTTTGTTTTTGTTTTTTGTTTTTTGAGACAGGGTCTCACTATGTAGTTGAGACTGACCTGGAACTCATTATGTAGCCCAGGCTGGTCTCAAACTCACAGCAATCCTCCTGCCTCAGCCTCCCAAGTGCTGGGATTACAGGCATGCGCCACTGCACCGGGCTCCCACCTTTTTTTGTTATTGTTTGTACCAGGGCTTGAACTCTGGACCTTGTACTTGTGAGGCAAGTGGTGGCGCCAGTGAGCTAAATCCCTAGCCCTTAAGTCCCATCTTATTTCATTTGTACTTTGGTTCACTTCTCTGCTCTCCCTAAATTATTTTGAAGCAAATCTCAGGTATCATATCATTTATCTGTACTTGAATCTTCTTTTTTTTTTGGAGACAGATCTTGCTATGTAGTTCAGCCTGGCCTTGAACTCTCAGTGATCTTCCTGCCTCCGCCACCCAAGTGCTAGAATCACAGGCATGTGCCACCATGACTGGATTAATCTTCTTTTTAAAAACAGAAGCCAAAAGACTTTTTGATTTGAAATGATTTTCAACTCATAAGAAGTTACAAACATGGAGGGTGAGGCATGCCAGTCGCTCAAGAGGCTGGAGCAGGGGGATTGAAAGTCAGCTGAAGGCCCTCCTGGACAGTTTTGGTTACCAAGACACGGTCTCAAAATAAAATAAAAAAGACACTGAGGATTTTGCTTAGTGGTAGAGTGCTTCTGTAGCATATGGAAAGCTCTGGTGCAGGCTCCAACACCATCACCAAAAAACACCCCAAAATGGTATAAAGGCTTTCGTGTTCCCATCCTCACCCCTTCTCCCTGCATGGTGTCCCATAGTCCGTCGAGACTAAGAACGGAAGAGAGCAGTGTGTGGCATCGTGTGGTGCTGAAGTGAGTGTTCTGAGGCTGGGCTGGGTAAGGAGGCGCTGATTTGTCCTGTAGCCGCCCAAGTACTCACGGGACTATGCCTTCCCTTCCTTCCAGTTGACCACACCAGGGTGGTCCTCCATGACGGTGACCCCAACGAGCCTGTGTCTGACTACATCAACGCAAACATCATCATGGTGAGCTCGCGCCTTCTCAGTGACTCCCAGCCCACGCTGCTAGCTTCATCTTGCATTTTAAATCCTTCTGTGCATTCTGGAAGCGACTTTGAGATGTCTGAAGGATTTTCTTCCTAAATTTCTAGCCTGAATTTGAAACCAAGTGCAACAATTCGAAGCCCAAAAAGAGCTACATTGCCACACAAGGCTGCCTGCAAAACACGGTGAATGACTTTTGGCGAATGGTGTTCCAGGAGAACTCTCGAGTGATCGTCATGACGACAAAAGAAGTGGAGCGAGGAAAGGTGCACAGGCTCATATTTTCTGATAAAAATTCTCTCTTTTGGGGTACTAGGGATCGAACCCAGGACCTCATGCATGCTAGTCAAGTGCTTTACCACTGAGCTACAGCCTCAGCCTCTGAGAAGATATTTTTAAAGCATTGTACGTGTCATGTGGGCCTTGTTAGAAATGAAATAAACAAAGCTAGGTGTGGGGGTGCATGCTTGTGTTGCATCACTCAGGAGGCTGAGGCAGGAGGATTGCTGTGAGTTCAAGGCCAGCCTGGAGTACATAGGGAGACTGTGTCTTAAAAAAAAATATGGAGTAAACAAACTAAGCTCACTCTAACTGACCCTTGGCAAAAGGAGTAGAAGAAATTGATTAAAATGTGTCTCAGTGTAGTTTCTTTTATAATCTTGCTTGGGATTCCTGGAGCTTCTTAGATCTGATGATTTACAGTTTTCTTCAGATTTGGTTATTGTTTGCCTTTAATTCTTCAAACATATACCCCATCCCAGCCTGTCCCAAACACCACTTGCAGTATATTCAGCTGCTTGAAGTTGTTCTGCAGTCTCTGAGGCTGTGCATATGTGACTTTGTTCTCTTTCCCCTCTCTGTGATCTGTTTTGGAGAAGTCTCTTTTGCTGTGTTTTTGGTTAATCTTTTGTTGTGCAGTGTTTAATCTGCACTAAGTCCACTCAGTGTGTTTTCACAGCAGACATTGTGGGTTTCATTGCTGGAGGTTTTACGTGAGTCTCTATTCTCTTTTTTTTGTTTTTTTTGGTACTGGGGATCGAACTCAGGACCTTGTGCTTGCAAAGCAGCCGCCGGAACCACTGAGCTAAACCCGAGTTCTCTATTCTCTTCTGTGTCCCTCCTCTTAGCACGTGCAGCATCCCCCTGCCCTTGAGCGTTCGGACTCTATTTAAAACCGCCTTAGTGGCTTTGTCTGCTCACTCCGTCGTCAGTGTTTTAGCTAAGATGGCAGCGTGAATCTGCACCCTCTTACTCTGTCATACCCAGAAGCAGAGAGGGAGGAGGGAGAAAAGGTCTAGCTGGTACCTGCAGGTGATGAGAGCTCTGAGCAGTAACAGCGGTCTCACTGCTCAGGTAATGTGGACTCCTCATGACTTGAGCATTAAGAAGTAGTTGGAATTATGCAGTGTATTCATTCGACTATCCCAGCGTGTTGCAGTGAAGGCTAACGTTTCCTCTGTGGCACGCGCTGTTCCACTGAGCTGCACACTGGCCACGTGCTGCGTTCCGACCGCACAGTGCTTCCATACTGTAACTATCGTGCATTTTGGTGGTTTTTCCTCCCCATCAAATACGTGCTCCATCGCCTTCTCTTCGTGCGTGCCGGCCTGTCTTAGGCGTTTGAGTATCTGTGCGGTATTCTCTGGTGTGGCTGTGTCACAGTTTATTTAACCAGGATGCCGTAGATGGGCTGTTCTGTGTTCCAGCTTTGGTCCGGCACACAGTGCCGAGGTGAAGGACCTTGGGCTTCCCTTCATAGGCAGCCAATGTAGCCAAGCCACAGGCTCCGCAGAGGATGGTTTCCCACATGGTACACTCTGACTAGACCATGTAAAGACTGAGTGGACTGTAGCAGTCACACGTAGCAGGTGAGTCTAAGGCCGGTGGGGAAGTGGGACTGGAGCCCTCCTTGTGCAACTTGCATGTCAGGTGTGAAGGGCAGTGTGGCCGCTTAGGCTCTTCGCTGTTGTACTCCTGACTGGTGTCTTTCTGTGTCCGTTTGAGGCGTTTGTGCCCCATCTGGGCTCTGTGAAACAAAGGCCTCTTCTGGCCTAACATTAGGTGTGTTTGAATTAATGGCCCGGGCACGGCTTCTTCACGGTTTCTGCTTCAGGTGAGTGGTTGCTGCCCTGAATACGGGAAGGGAGCCGAAACCCTCTGTCCTGCTTCTTGCTTGGATGGAACTGGAGGAGGCCACCTGTCTTCTGAGCACTTGGGGCTGGGAGAGAGGGCTCTCGTGTTGCTGCAGCGGTGAAGATGTCAGCCCCTACCTGAGGAGCTACTGAGAACTCCCAGAATACACAGACCCGGCCAGATTGTGCCTCCGCAGTCCTCACCTCCTTGCTCCATCTCCTTCTGCATTTGTCCTCCTTGCTTTGGGGGTGCTGAGCGATGGCACACCGGGCTTGGGCTTTTATCTTCTCTGCAGGCCTCTCTGACAGCCTGTGTTGGTGTCTCCAGAGCACAAAAGGAAAGCCAGCTGTGGATGCCCTGCGGTCTCTGTGCTTTAATGTGAAAAATAATGCATCAGCCCTCACATGCAGTGTTGGTTTGCCAGGGTTTCCACAAGAGAGTTTGGAAAGCCAAGAGGAGGATTGCAGCAGTTTGCAGCTGTGTAAAGTCAGCTAAAATGTTCTTTCCAGAGTCACCATTTAATTTTGTGTTCCCTGCTGAAGTCTGTAGTGACTGGATCAGTCCTCTGAACTGAGTGGCCAGTAAAATACTGAGCATAACCCATATTAGAAGGGCATATTTGGGGAAAATATAATTTGGGTCAAATCTTCTGAAAGGTTTTTGAACCTACTGAATACTGGAGGCAAAGTTGAATTCAGAATAAAAAGAGATCAATTCCTTTTTGTAGACTTCTCCGCTACCTTGTTTGTTTTCTTTCACTTAATCATTTGACTATGGATGGCTGAAGCTGTGCTCTGATTTCTAGTTGTGTAACTGTACATTTGTCTGTCTCCCTAGTACACAAGGTGCATTTCTCTTGCTGATATTTGTGTCCTGCTGGTTTTGGAAAGTGAGTGGTGTGAGTGACCACTCCTGGACCAAAACAAAACAAAAGCATTCTCTGCCTGGGACACATCACCAAATAGATGCAAACTCATCTTTCATTCAGCAAAGTAGTTTCCTTTTTGGCAGCAGGCACAATTTCCGTGGTGCCATATTTTTGATCCACCTGTTCCTGGAGGCAGCAGTGATCTCAGCCTTGGATTCCCCATTCAAGGAAAGTGACGTGTAATAGCTATCAGATGGGTCTGGATATATAGAAAAAGCAGCTGGCGCAGAAGCCCCTAGCTGCCTTTCTTTGATAGAGTTATTCATACTTGGGTTAGATAAGGCATAGTCCTCCTACACAGTGCGGAAATGAACCAGACAGTCTGGCTCGTTGGGCACCCCATCCACCTCCAGAGTCTTTGCCCGCCTTTGCTACAGAGTGACTGGCAGATCTCTAGAAGTCAAAACTCACTGGCTACTAGATAGTACCCGACTTGGTTGATCCCTCCCCGTTTGCATCCTTTTTTTTTTTTTTTTTTTTTTTTTTTTTTTGTGGTGAGGGATGGCACTGGAGATTGAAACCCAGAGCCTTTACATTAAGTTACATCCCCTATTTTTAAATTTTTGAAACAAGGTCTCGCTAAGTTGCTCAGGCTAGGCTCAAACTTGAAATCCTCCTGCCTTAGGCTTCCAGAGTACTGGGATTATAGCCATGTGACCACTGTGCAAGTATTGACTCTCCTTAGTTCTGTGGCTTGGACCAGGTCGTTCTGCCATGACTCCTTTTCTTTCCCCTTCTGTCTGGTTCTGTGAGCACTTGTGTTCTTTCCTTTTGTATGGACTGACATGCCAGACAGGCCATTTTCCATATGATGCTCTTTAAGCAAGACTTGAACTCCTGTTTGCTGCTGGTTCCAGCTTTTATTCAGGTCTGGAGAGACTAACAGTCTTTCCTCTGATCCTCCCTTCCAGAGCAAATGCGTCAAGTACTGGCCGGATGAGTATGCTCTCAAAGAGTATGGGGTCATGCGTGTCAGGAATGTCAAAGAGAGTGCTGCTCATGACTACACACTCAGAGAACTGAAACTCTCGAAGGTTGGACAAGTAAGTATATTATCATATCTTAGAGACTTTGGTGACTGCTTAGGCATGTGGCCACCTAACGTCCTGCACTAATGTCAGCACTCATCACATATGCGTTATTGATTCCATAGTCACTTCTCAGGTGCCTTTTATGTACTGGGAACAGTTCAGGCTCCTGGTACATTGTGAATGTGACAGGTGCCGTCCCTGCCCTGTTAAGGCCTAGCTGAATTCCAGATCTAAAAGTAATACCAATATCCAAGCTTTTGGATTTTCTAGGTCTGTGAAGGCCACAGGATGATATGCCTGAGAGGGCCTGGGTTCTCAAGATGGATAAGGAGGGCCTCACTCAGGGGGTGACCCTTGAGCCAACACCCAATTTGGAGGAGCCAGGCATGCAGACAGTGAGAAGGGCTCAGGGGTTAGGACCAAGGAGGAGGCCCCTGCAGCAGATGGTGAAGATGGCAGGGCCAGACCAGGGCAGAAAATTAGAGGAGATGGTGGAGGAGGATGTGATGGGGGTTGATGGGGCAGATGGGATCCAGGGCACCCTGGATAGATTGGTTTTGATTGACAGGAAGGCATTTCTTTTGTGGTAACAGGAGGGCAGGAGGGATAGGTGTCCTCTGATGCGAAGGCACCGCTGAACTGAGTGGATTTACTCTGTGTTCTCTCTGAGGTGTGAGGCACAACCATCACTCAGGAGTCGAAGGGGCTAAGAAGTGGAGTATTTGAACACAGGGAAAGGTAGAAGTAGTAATCTTGCAAAGAGGGCAAGAAACCCAGACATTTCTGGGCAGTGCTGGTGCCTCGTTAAAGCAGGGAGTGTGCATGTTTAGGCCCCATCACTCGGTTGTGGGGCTTTTCCCAAGGGTACGCTGGTCCTTGGGCACAGAGCAGACAGGAGGTAGTTCGTCCAGGTCTGGAGCATAGCATGGTGGCACAGTGGCTGGAGAGAAGTTCAAGGGACCGGAGTCCTGGCTGGATCAGAAGGGGACAGGGTGGGAGGGAACAGGTAGAAAGCAAGGGTATAGAGGTGTGGTGGCTGGAGGAAGTGAGCAGGAAGCTGTGCATGGCATTCAGACTGGTGCGGCTGCCTGCATTTGTGAGGTTGGAGCTGGTGCAGTTCTCCTGATGGTGAGGATATGAAGGTCCAGTCTGTCCCGGAGGTGAGAGAGGGGCCAGAGGAGCGTGGCCGTCAGACAGAAATGAGAGGTGTCAGGGACACTGGAGCATGACTCCAGGGAGGCTTTGCTTCTCACTGTGGTGTATTTCTGGGTAGTAGGAGAGTTTTCCTCAGTGGTAGCAACAACCCTTTCTCATCCCCAGATGCTCTGAGAATTAGGGATTCTAAATGTCCTCATGGGCTTGTGTTTTGCACCCTGCCACGGACACTGACATGGGACCTGTTCTGCTCCTGCTTTCTATGTAGCTGTTTACATTTGTTTGTAAGTGCTGTTGCACGATCTCACAGAGCCTACTCACTGGCTGCTGGGGAAGGAGGAGCAAGGGCAGAGCCTCGCTGACCATTTACTGAGGATGAGGGCAGAGGTGCAGTGAGGTTGTGCTGGTCCCATGTTTCCTGGCTGGCCTTCCTGTGATGCATGGAGTGTTTAGGTCACTTGATAACATCAAACCAATTTCTTTTTTCCATCATCACCAGCAAATTAAATGCATACAATTTTCAAGATCTTAATTGTGGTTCAGATTCCTGGGATGCACTAAAGTTCACTGATGGTAGATGCTGGTCTACCAAGTCCCTGTCTTTAAAAGTGTCACTTAGCTTCCTGGATTGTCTCTGAGTACTCAGGAAGAAGCTGTGGCAGTGACTAGTGCTCCATGTCTGCTTTGGATACACCCTAAATCATGATGCTTTGTAATCTCCTGTAAGCTGGATCTTCATTGATTATCACTGTCCTCAAAAATAGCTAGTGTTCAGTCTCTTATATCTGCCGGGCAGAGGTGTGTGTGTATGAGAGAGAGACAGATCACTCCTCCCATGTTGCAAATAGAGTTTGACTTCAAGATGTGCAGGGGCCTCAGTACATGTGAATGCCTAGGGTTTGAGCCCAGATCTCGTCATCTGATTTGCAAAGCTCATCTTCTTACCTACTTGGCCCTAAACAAGACCTTAAAATACGATACTGTAGAAGTGCATGTGTGTGTACCTGCTGGGGGTTGGGTATAAAAGATGACAAAGGGGAACAGATGTCTTGGGACACCTGTTTCCTCGGAGGGACCTGTGTGAAGTGGGTGAGGAGGAAGGGGACATTGCCTGGGTTGGTGGTGTTTGGAGTTTTTTTTTGTTGTTGTTGGGTTTTTTTGTTTTTTTTTTGGTACCAGGGATCAAACTGGGGTCCTTGTGCTTGTGAGGCAGGCAGGTGCTGGAACCACTGAGCTAAATCCCCAGCCCAGTTGGAGGTGTTTAGGCCTACAGTTCTCTGAAGAGCAGACCGCCTTACCAACCATCTTAGTGCTCAGGGCAGAGGTGGGATGTCCCGTCAGGTCCTGCAAAGCAGTGCACTGGGAAAGTGGTGGAAGGGACCTTTAGACGGGACATGGGGAGACTCAGGGTCTATGGCTTATGCAGCATCTAGCATAGCTGGGGACCAGGCAATTCCTCAACCCCTTGATTTATTTAATTCTGTTCTGGTTTTTCTTGGCTCTACTCCAGGGGAATACAGAGAGAACGGTCTGGCAATACCACTTTCGGACCTGGCCGGACCATGGCGTGCCCAGTGACCCCGGGGGCGTGTTGGACTTCCTGGAGGAGGTCCACCACAAGCAAGAGAGCATCATGGATGCAGGCCCCGTCGTGGTACACTGCAGGTGACAGTCACTGCCTGCCCTGGCTCCAGATCTTGTTTTTACTCACCTGCCCCAGCTCTGTGGGAAATTGTTAGGGTCCCTTTGAGGTGTGGATAAACTGCATTAAGGGACATTTGGACCCCAAAGTATATTTCTCATGTCACTAGAGGCCTGTCGGGTGTTGGGGGGGGTGGAGTGGACTCAGTCTTTCTTCTCTCTCTCTCTCTCTCTCTCTCTCTCTGTTTTTTGTTTATTTGTTTGGAGGGTACCAGGGATCAAACTTGGGACCTTGTGCTTGCAAGACAGGCGGTGGCACCACTGAGCTAAATCCCTGGCCTTGCTTTATGAAATTTTGACTGCTTCCTGCTTGGGCCTTTGATATCGGTGCATATGGCCTCCATATTTTGTGGCTACTGGTGAACCTGTTTGGACTTCCTGATTATACTGGGGAAAGTTTGGTATCTTCAACCTTATGTGGGGCAAGTAGGTACATATGAAATATTTTGTTCAGTTTTTTTTTTTTTAAAGCTACCATTTATTGAGCCCTTGTGGGTGCCAGCCTTCTGAGCTCAGAGTTTTTCCTACGTAATTCACAGTTGAACTCACAGCAACCCTGTAAGGTGTGTACCTGTGTCCCCACTTCACAGACGAGGAGTCAGAGAGTCAGAGAGGTGCAGGAACTTGCCTCAGGCACATTGTATGGAGAGGCTGGGCTCCAGCTGGGCTGAACCCAAAGCCCTGTGCTCTTTGCTAAGATATTTGCAGATAGAGAGAACATCTTATAAATTCTCCCGGGAGCAGACATTGTTTCTGTGAATATTAATAGCTTGGTTTTGCATAGACGACCCCAACGAATGACACCACTGACCCTGCCTTTTGTCCTTCTGATCACAGTGCTGGAATTGGCCGGACAGGAACATTCATCGTGATTGATATCCTTATTGACATCATCAGAGAGAAAGGTAGGTCATCCGGAGGGCACAAAGCCACAGTTCCTATTTGCACTTTCAGGCAGGAAAGGGCCAGGCAAAATAACCCAGGCAAGATAATTTGAGTGAGAAAGAATTTTTATAAAAGTCGGGGCCAAAGATTGCACCTTCCCTGTCTGCCGAGAGAAGAAGTGATGCACATAACACAGGGCCCAGAAGTGAGCGGGCCCCTGGCTGTGGCCTCGTGATGCCTCGGGGTGCTGGTTTTTCCTGACCATTTAGTCCTTACTTGCAACATGGGGTCGTTCCTTGAGGAAGTGGGGGATCCTGACTGTCACTGTGGCCCTCAGCACTAGAGCAGTAGTGGCCATTCCTGCTTCTGTCCAGGTGCTGAACAGCTTTCTCCTGCTGCTTCATGGTGTTTGCTTTGCAGGTGTTGACTGCGACATTGATGTTCCCAAAACCATTCAAATGGTGCGGTCTCAGAGGTCAGGGATGGTCCAGACAGAAGCACAGTACCGGTTTATCTACATGGCCGTCCAGCATTATATCGAAACACTACAGCGCCGGATCGAAGAAGAGCAGGTACGGAGCTGGAGGGACCATCCCTGGTCTGCTTGGGGCTTGCGTCAACAGCTATCTCTATTTGAGAGTGGGAAGCAGATTCCCAGATAGGAGGGCCTCTCAGGAAACTAATTCTTCCCTATGTTGCAGTTCTGGGTTTTCAGTCCGGAGGTGCTCAGGGAGGGCACCCACCATGCCATCATCCTGGACTAGCAGGTTGAGGCTCTGCCATTAATGGTTATGATTTTCCCAAGCTTGCATGGTAAGCTTAGTACTGAGAGAGGGCCTTGAGGTTTCCAACTTGTTCCAGCTTTGATCCAGGCTGTGTTTGTCCTGATTGCTTCTCTTAAAATATAGTTTTTTGGGTTTTTTGGGTTTTTTGGTACTGCAGATCAAACTCAGGACCTTCCGCTTGCAAGGCAGGCGATGGGACCATTGAGCTAAATCCCTGGTGCTTCTCTCAAAATGAATACCTCATTTTAATGGCACATGGCAATTTGAACCACTAATTTGGTCAAGCTGGAAACGGTGAAATTTTAATTTTAATAGCTGTGCATAATGAAGAAGAATGTGGAATTGACACCTTTCCATCTGAAGCTGTTCATAACAGACACAGAGCTGAGTAATTAGGGCTGTGCTGAGCTCAGGCAGATGAGGGCTGCTGTTTTGTGGAGCCGCACTTATCTGCCCCCACCACAGTCCCATCGAGTTGTCGCAGAGGGGCTAGTGTCTAAAGGACAGTGGTGTTTGTCTGTTTTTCCCTGCTTATTGCCTGCCAGAGAACTCCATTTCTCACACTGGGATCTGGCACCTAACTGCATGATTTCTAGCCCAGACAGGATCGCTAAGTTTCTAAATTGTCCAGCCTGCACTTATACTTTTGATCCTGCTTGTCTTGCCACAGTATTGGGATTACAGGCATGTGTCATCAGGCATGGCTTTTAGTGCTTTGAATCTGAATTGGACTTTTTTTTTTTATGGTCCTAGAGATTGAATCCAAGACCTTGCATGTTCTTCTAGGCAGGTGATCTGCCACTGAACTATATTCCCAGCCCTCTAAATTTGTATATTAAGCTCTATGAAATATGTAGGTGGTTGATTTTGTTTTTGTTTTTTTGGAGACAGGGTCTTGCTACATAGTGGAGGTTAGCCTTGAACTCACTATGTAGTGAGGCTGGCCTCGAACTCATTATGATGTTGCCTAATCTGGCCATGAACTCAAGGTGATCCTCCTGCCTCTGCCTGCTGAGTGCTGGGATTATAAGCTTGTGCCAGCATTCCCACACGAACCTGACATTTTTAAGAGTTCAGAGCTGGCCATAGTGGCATATGCTTATAATCCTAGCATTTGGGGGGCCAAAGCAAGATCGAAACTTAAGTCCAGACTGGGTTATCTATAAGACCCTTTCTCTAAAAACAAAGTTCAGGCCAGTTATTTGGTAGAATGCGTCTTGGCTTGGGTCTGTCTGATGTTTGCTTTTGATGGGAGTCAAGTCTGTGATAGGACCACCGTGTTGTAACTCTGGTACCAGCCTAGTAGGAGCACACTGTCGGTTTGATTCATTACTGATCATATGAAATAAGATTTCTTCACCATGAAATTGCTGTTTTTTCCTCTGTAGTTAATTTCTTATAGGTAGATTCTTGAGATTGTGTGTGTAACCTATTTTTGCCTACTCATTTCACATTTTTTTTTTTTTTTTTTTTTTTTTTTTTTTTTTTTTTT